TTATAATTGTAACAAAAATACACTAAAACTGCCATTGCCAAAAATGAATGCTTTCACCCCAAGACAAGGAATAAATCACAATAAATCAATCCAAGCTGGACAGTCAGTCACCAAATCAGTTCATGTAGGGACCAAACAATAGCAGGGGTTAATCTTCCACACACAGCCCCCCTCCCTTTACCCCCTTCTGCCATTCACCCTATGCAGCTATGCTTGGCTAGACAGATGAATCAAGCACAATACCCCCCACTCTCAGATATCCCCACCCCCATCGCCTTACAAATGAGTTATTATCTATTAACTTTGATAAGTGAGGATTGAACACACCATATTTAATTGCAGCTGAAAACTGTTATTATCAAATAATCCCTTGCTGTTGTGATTATAGTCTATTATAACATAATAATGGATATTACTAAATTATTAACAATATATTGGGTGTGTTCAACCTTTGGTTAAACTGTCAACAATGGAAGAATAAGTCAGCCTTTTCACATATTTTAAAATTAATTTCCATTTCATAATTTAATTTCCATAGCACTAGTATTATTTGTGACCATTTGATTACACAGAGAGAAGTCACATTGAGTGAATGATTTTTCAGCAAACAGGGCAAAGACAGTCATGGGGTGAAGATGTCACAGCACAGAAGCTGCTCAGGTCACACAGTGAACTTGACCCTCTGCTGAACCCACAGTCTTCGGACATGTTCATTACCGTGATGATGGTGGATAACAACAGAGAGCCCCTGTGCCATGACAATAAACCCCGAAGGAAAGTGGACAATCCCAGACACCATTATCCACTGAGTCCATTAAATATGATAATGTTACACAGCTAGCTAAGTTGGAAACATCTAACAGTTGACATTGTGTACACAATACAAGAGTTCCGGGAGTTACCAGTATGGTTAAGTTACTCACCAGGCGTTTGCTGTACCGTGTATGAGGATCCTCCATAATCTCTGGAAGACACACAAAGTTTGGGGAGTCGTGTTAAAACACTCGGGTTAAATAGTCAATGGCTGTCGAGATGTTGTGGTGTGTTTTTAAATCGTGTCGAACAGAAACACACATCTCCCCCTGTGTACTGACTAGCTACACAGCTCTGCTAGCATTAGCTTCCAGTGTTGCTTTAGCTAGCAAGCTAAAATTAGCAATACACACACGCAATTAGAAACATTGACGCTGAGCACGGGTCTCTCTGTGCGAGGACAAGTGTCGGCGAAGGCGACGACGCTTGAGCAGAAATACTCCGAACGAACGTGTGTATTTAGTGGCGTTATCCGTTAGCGTTATCGGCTAACGAGAACTAGCTCAGTTGACAATCCCTTTCATAAGTCGTCGGCTATCGCTGGGGCTAGCCAGCTAGCTGACGTTAGCATGTATACGGCAATGAAGGCTTCTTGGTCCTTACCTCGGCGTTTGAACTCCCTTCAGCGGTAGTGGTCAAAGTAACGTTTCCAAACTAGAGCGTCCGCGGCGTCTCGGCGGAGTTCCTCGCCATGTTACGAGCTAACAGCTGTGCATATTGTTGTGTTTATTATGGTGCGACAAAGTTAGGACGACTCGACGCGCACAGCCGCCATTTTCAGCTGTGCAGAAAACACACACACACACATACACACACACCAAAAAAAAAAAAAACACCAGGACCCGCCCCCCTCCTGACACCGCTGCTACTGAAGGTTAGCACAGGGCCGCTCTGATTGGTCACTGAAGATTAGCATAGGGCCGCTCTGATTGGTCACTGCAGGTGCTCTTTAAACAGGATTACAATGTTAAAGCACAGTGTTTGTTTCAGTTTCTCCAGCGCGAGGAAGCAATACTAAAATAAAACTAATGAAAATAATAAAACGACACTGATTTTTCATGAATTAAAAAAAATATTAAATTTTACATTGTATTACAACTATCATTGTTTCCAAGGCAGCAACTCATGATTATTTTCATCACTGATTCATTTTATATTATTATCTGATTTTTTTCCAGATTAATGTATTGTTTTGTTTTCCAACTGCAGAAAAAAGATGCACTAACAGGTGACGTCTTCAAATGTATTATTATTATTGTACAGAACAACAATATTAGAAAAGTATACAATCTTCACATGTGATGGATTAGAATCAGAAAATATTTTACCCTTTTTAAAAATAAATAATTATTTTCTCATTTAAATTGCGGCTGGTTAGTTGATGATTCGGATCTTCATGCCATTATATAAACACAATTTTCTTCCTGCTCCAGGTTCCTGCAAAGACGAAGCAGAAACAAACGCACCCTCGCGTAGGCCCCGCCCCACGCAGCATTGATGGGCGGGGCCTGAGTCCGTAGTGAGGGATGGAATTAGGTCAGAAAAGCTTCACACACGATGTTGTGTACACACACACACACACACACACACACACACACACACACACACGAAGCATGAACCAACACTTGGTTTAACGCACATACATCTTTTATTACATAACAGGCTTTACTGGGTTGACACACTGCCAGTGAGCGAGTTACACAGAAGACCATTATTACAAGCATTGCAGCAACACAGACTCATACTGATCACACACAACAACAAAATCACACAATTTATTAAAATCAAACATCAAACAATAAAAAAAGAAATACTACTTCATGTGATATATGTATGATCAGAGCTTCGTAATTTCTATATGGGTATGATTTGATTTTTGTGGCTTACAAGGCAACAAAAAAGATCACGTTCATTCTTTTAATGTATAATAATAATTTTATGTTATTAAAAATTTCTCTAAATAAAATGGTTCCCTATGTGAACCACCAGGGGGCGGTAGACTACAATCTCAAACAATTACTCGTCAAGTGGTTGTGAACAGGTTGAGAGAGATCTACACACTTATAACACGTTTTCAAACACTTCATACAGCAAGAAAATCATTTTAAATCAAATGTTAAATACAGAGGTAAGTGTACAGGATAGATATGGTTAAATTCAAATGTACTTTGTATTTTTAAAACAGATTCAAATAATGGTGAGGGTAAACATGGGGGCATATCAGGGAATATTCTTGTTCTTGGAGAAAGTATCTTTCCTAGAAATAGCAAACAAAGACAAAAAAAGAGACTTTAATTTCAACATGTAGTTTACAACTAAGAATTCATCACGCTGGAGGACGATGCAGGTGTTTTACCTGTGGATGAGCTCTCATGAGAAGAAGCTGTAGAGATACGAGAACCCAACAATCCCAATGATGGCACAGCACAAAGTAATCATCATCTTTTTCTGTAGTTTAAAAATAAGGAAATAATTAAAGATGAAGAGATTAAACTGTGAGTCATGATTGTAAACACAAAACAGCCAAACACGAGACAATAATTCACATGTATGGACACAACGGTTTGAGGAAACGATTCAGCAAAAAGGAGAAGAGGATCCGAGTGGTTACAAGAGGTTTGTGTGTGTGTTTGTGTGTTAACGTACCTCCTTTTTTACACTTGTCTTTAAAAGGCTGCAACACAGTGGTTAATATTCTGTATGCACATACTGCACCCATAAAAAACCTTCACACAAATCCTCCAGTCATCCAAAAAGGTAAAAAAGTCGATATCATATTTACCTTGTGTTCCTCACAAAGTCAAGCTGGGCAGATAAGCATGACTCTGCAAATGAAGCACTCTTCAAACAGTAGTTAAAAAGCATAACGTCTTTAATCACCATTAAAATTGGCATTTAAGTTAAAAACAGACTCCAACAGTTTCAGTTTTCTCCTGTCTCTCTTCCTGCCTCCTGTGCTGAAGAAAAACCCTGAAATAGAAGCATTAGATTGAAAGGTTGTGGACAGAAGCCAAACAGAGCAGACTGCACTGGTGCACAGATCAAGCTGAGGGCCTCTCACCGTCAAGTGTTTCCTTCACAAGCTGAATTAAAAGCATCACCCAGGCTCCGTTTGATTGATTTCACTGAGTGACTCTTGTGGTAACTTCATTGTCGTTGCACTGAAAAACCTTTGATGTGGTCAATGATTAAATTGGATCACGTTGCCTCTTCTCTTGAATGGCTGATATAAACAGTGTATAATACAGTGTTTAATAAACCAAGCTGCTTTAAAAACCCAAAAAAGCTACAGAATGGCCATATGGACACTGTAGCTCAGTAAATTGAAAGATTGAAATGTGCTCTCTACCAAAAATGAGCTGATGAAATGATGATGACTAAACAGAATTGAACTCAGCTGCTATAACACCGAGCTGCAGCTAAATCAGTCTGGTACAACAGCCCCTCTGGAAATCCTGCACTAATTTGCTAAACATGTACACTTAAAGGTCCAGTGTGTAAGATTTAGGTAAAAGGGAACTATTGGTAGAAATCTAATGTAGAATAATCCTCATCATGTTTTCACTAGTTCGTTTCATCTAAATTGTATGAATTGTAGTTTTCTTTGCCCCATAAAAGGCCCTTTATATTGAAATACTTTATATTTACATCGAGGGGACCCTCTCTATGGAGGCTGCCATGTTTTTTACATTAGTCCAGACTGGACAAACTAAACAGCTTTTGAGTTTTATGACAATTAAAGGCTACAACAGGTTATTTTTCATGTTTGGAAGGAGAGGGTGAGGTGAGGGGTGTTCAGCTGCAACATGCAATTTCAACACTAGATATCACTTAATTCTACACACTCTAGTTTAATTCAGTCATTGACTTTTCTGAAAACATGGACTGAAACTGTAAAAATCATGAAAATATGAAGGTTTTTGGATTTTGCACTGAATGGTATTGTTGAGTTATAGGTCTTTATACTTATACAAGTGAGGGCAGACTCACCTCTTCCCTACAGAGCAAGACAATTCAACAGCACCACAAACTACAGCCTCCCTGCAACATGTTTACTAAGTTTAACCAACAAGTCAAACTCTTTTGCCAAAAACTGATTTATTATTACAGGGCTGTTGTATTATAATTAATTACTGCTGTACCTTATAAACTGAGTTGTGAGTTTATATTAGAAATATGAGGAGACCAAAAACATGGCAACTTTACAGCCACCTGCCACTGACACAATACGGCAAGTTAGAATTACCATTTGCACTTTATCCTGTGTGACTTTATTAGCAACACTTCATTAAAAACACATAATAAATACAAAAACTATTTAGGCTCTTCTGGCAAATAAGCCACTTGTGTTATTGGCAATCTTACCATCATGTGGCATTAAAACATTTTGTTTTTACAGACGAAACAATCATGCCTTAATATTTAATAGTGCTACAGTGTTCAGATAAATATTCAAGCAAGGATTGCATGTTTATGCCGCTAGCCCTTTTCCTTCTTGCTTATCTTAGCTCTGCCCAGCCATGAAATGTGTTTTACATAAGCATCATCCTTCACAAATTTAACATTAAAACCACTGTGCTCTATAAAACTGAAGAATCATAAGTGGACACACCGATCCTCTTCAAGTTTAGAGAACTACTTCATATTCAGGCCAGATATTGATAACACCAAATATAACCATTATATTATCTACATGATCATCTGAGCTAAATCACAGAAGTGGAGTCATATCTTGAAATGTGAAAGTGCTGAAACTCCTCCAAACTAATAAAATTCCCATTACAGTAGCAAGCTTTTCAATTACAAATGTGTCAAGGCTCATAAAGGAAAGACATGAAGACAGTGGAGGTGATGCATCTCATTAGGACTTAATACATTTCAGATGACAAAAACTTCCAGGCTGATTCTTTGGCACTGAATGCTGCACAATGAAATGCTTAGTGACACTGGTGGAATTACGATCAGTAATTTTCAATTCCCTTTTCACCCCACGTGTACATAGGACAGTGGGAATTGTAACTCACATCAGAGTCAGTCTTGTTTCCTCATTTACAGTACAGCTTCCTCAAAACTGTCCAAGCTGCATGAAGGTGTCAAACAAACCCTCACAATTCAGGGAGGATGGTTCGGAAGGGAATGATGAAAGTATTTAAAGGTCAGAAATATTGTGTTATGTTTTCCTGTAGGTCCTCTTTTTTTCCAGCTTTCAAATGTCACATCGAGTGCAGTTTTTAACTGATGATCTGTGGATGAAATATGATTGTATCCATCTGAGGTGACCAGTATCAAACTTTTCTTTGATGGGTCAGCTGATGGAGGGAAGGATGGAGTGATGATTGGCAGCAACACAGAGGTCCTGCTAAAGTGTGAGGATGACGATGAGGAGGATGAGAACAACCACAGCACAGATGGCACCAATAACCATCATCCTCTACGGAGAGAGACACAAAGAGAGAACAGCGTTTAGCGAGGAGGTGCATCGGAACTGAAACAAGCCCACAGACGAAACACCAGCTTAAAACGGTGTGTGACTGACTCACTGTCAGCACTGCTTTGTTTGTTCAGCAGCAACCAGAGGCAAGTGATGCAGAATGGGAGAAAAAAAAACACACACACCCAATTAACTTTAAACGCACACAAACACGCCTCAAATAAGCCCTCTGGATATAGAGGAAAAACACAGCCGCCTCACGGAGCCGGAGGACCAGAACCTGCAAAACCTTTTCCAAAGTCTTCATCATACCCTCACACACCCAATATGGCAGTACAGGAGTTATTTGCTGTGGAGTTACTCACCCTTAGCTCTCCTCTTACTCAGTTAGCTCATCAGCTTGACTTCAGTCCCACTGACAATCCGATAATGAGAGCTAGTAAGGCCAGCAAGATCACCACAACCACCACTATTATGACCATTTTCTGTTGGGAACAACCAACACAGCACCATCAGGATCATTATCAGTGGTGAAACAACATCAATCATATTTTATACTTATTTGTGATCATTACAATATATGGAAACAATGGCTATATCAAGCTCCATTTACTCTCTTTGTTGCTTGGTAACCACCCAAACGCTTTAATGAAGTCTGATAAACCAGTTTTCACTTGGCACAACCATGTTGACTTCATGTTAATGTCTAGGTTCAACAGTTATTTTCACACATCCTGAAGCAGAGAGAACAGCGAACACACTGCGAAACTAAAACCAAAGAATAAGGACAACGAGAATAATGCAGACGTCATGAGCAAACTGTAAACTGAGAAATTAAGTTAGGGTTAAAGTTGAAGAGAAGTGGGAGAAAAAGAGTTAAGTGTAGAACATGTGTATAAGTTTGAGTGTCAGAGTTTGTGTGTGTGTGTGTCGAGGGGGGGGGCAGGTCAAAGCACATAGAACTACAGGGTGGAGGCTCAGGACCAGGGTGGACAGGAGAGGTGGGGGATCATCACACGTAATGAGGTGAGGAACAGGTTCTCGATGGTGATGGGATGGTCTTCATGTTGCCAGGCAGGTTTCCCAAAAGCAATCTGTGATTAAAGCCGCATCCACTTTTCTTATAGCAACTGGGCATTCGACTAAAGACAGTTAAGAGTTGAAAAAAAACTTAGGCTTATCAGGTGGAAGTGTGTTGTTCGGTGAGACAATGACATGTGCTTCACTGTCCGACAACCAGAAGGATGAAGGGGGCATCATCGATGTTGCAGGTACATGTTCAAATGAGCTCAGGACAGCCAGATTATTATGGATTGTTATCCAAGATCAAATTGTGAAGTTGAATCTAACTCAATCTTTGTCCTGTGGTGTCAATTTAATATTTCTCATCCCCTGTATTTAAATTTGTAGATCAATGATTTCAGGGTCTTCTTCTTTAAATCGATAAAAACAAAACTTTTACTGTTGCTTTTGGGAAACCAGACTGCTGTTCTTGACCGCAGTCACTCACACGGCGAGCTTCTTGCTGAAACTTTGCAGCTTTCTTAGTGTCGGCTACAGCCCTTTCCACAAAGCCCACTGATTGGTCCATGTTGCTCTCAATCCTTTCAATCATTCCACCCTAACGTGGGTCAAGGGGACGAGAGGTGACGAAAAGTACAAGAAAATAAATATGACAAGTGAGACAGAGAAAGAAAAAAGAAAAGCAAAGCACACAGAATGCAACAGTTGTGCACCATTGGTATTGTGGGTGCAGGGCGAGGGAGTGTGAACTGTCCACACACTGTGTCAAACGGTGTAAAAAGTGTTACTCTGCATAGAAAATAAGCAGAAAAAATAGGAAGAGGTCACGAGAGAGCTGGGGCAGCACTTGGCTGAATCACATTACCTTGCGAGCTTTGGTCTGGTACCTTACAGCTTTTTTGGTCTGCTCCTTAGCGACTGTTATGTGGTCCACTGACTTGGATACATTCTGCTCTATGTTGTCTACTATGTCACCCTGAAAAACACAACACAAACAGTAAGATACAAAGCAACAACTCAACCAGTACAACAAAAGTAGTAGAGTTGTTTAAAGACAAACACTTTCGTAAGTTTGAAGTTCACGGAAGAATTATGAAATGTCTTTCATTTAAAAAAAATTATATTGTGAAAAACTATTGATTTTCAGACAGTTTCCAAAATGACTCTTTCTTTAACATTGTGAGATGAATCTGGCACATTTAGGGAACTCACATCTATGAGTTTATGTAATCTTGAATGAATTTAAAGGGACTGCTGGGCCTTGGCGGAGGTATTCTAGTTCAGACAGTTTCAATAATGACTCCAGTTTTGTTTTAGTTTTCAACCCGAGGGTACATTTCACTGCCAAAGCATTCAGACTGATTATATTGCTATGTTTCTTTGGAACAAACGTCTTCCAGTAAAAACTTAAAATTCAACATGGTGAAGGTCAAGAGCTGGTTGAGACAGTTTCTCTTGCTGATAAAACAAGAGTGCTGCAAACTCACCCAACACAAACAGTGCAGTGTCCCTTACCTCAAACAAGCTTTTCCCTCAGAAAGCATGGTGTAAGCAGCAAGAAATATGTAGTTATACTCATGTACACATAAAAACACACAGTTACTGACATGTGTTTACACTGATGGTAGTACAAAGTCTGCTCTGTTCTACAATGATGCAGAATTCATACATCTTACTAAATGCTTTATTGTTGTTTCCATCAGTGTTGGGTGATGAGATGGAGGAGGCGGTGGCAGGAGAAAGTTAAGAGATGTATAAGAAATGCATGGAGCTGGAAAAGAGGAAACAGAGACAGACGCAGATCCATGGTCAGACCACAGAAGTGATGAGAAGAGAAATAAAGAATGAAAAAGAGTTGAATACAGTCTGGATTAAACAGAGCTGCAGATAAGAGTCCAGAGTTGATGCAAGGAGTGAATAAACGAAAGGATTATGTGTAATATTACTGAAGTAACTGATGGGCAGACAAAATGATGGGCTGATCAATAGAGTGGAGGAGTGTACCTGGCTTTCCACCAACATGGCAATGTCTACAAACATGTCGTGCAGTTCCTTGATGCTGCTTTCCAGACGGACGATATCTTTGTGTCTGGATTCGATCTCACTCAGGGCTTGTTTAGAGATCCCAGAGTCCACAATCTGTGGAGAAGAGAGGTTAGCATCACCTGTTAGCATAACAGACACAAACACCGTCTCTCTTGGTGTCACATCTAATGTCCTTTTATATTACTTCTGATTAGTGTCACCATGCAAAAAACATATCAGATTAAGGAGCCAATAAACAATCCACTGTGATCCCACTTCACAGGACTAAACAAACTTATTTTTAATGTTTTTGATGAATCATGCTTTTGAGTTTTTTTAAATGTGTATTGTTTCTAATGTTTTGTATTAATATCCAAATCATATCCCTTTTCAACATACATTTATTTTTCTACAAAACCTTTTTATATTTAACAAGTTAAAACTTCTTAAATACTCATCTTAATACAAAGATACTGTAAGAAGTACCAAGGTGAAATTAAGCCAATTCAATTCTTTCAGTTGTTTTTCTTTTTGAATTGAGTCTCACTATACTTGCTGAATTTTAATGAAGCACAGTTGGTCAATTTTTAATTTTAGTTTTAGGACTGTGGTCAATCTAAATGACTGAGACTATTTCACCGCAAACTTTCTCTATTTACATTCATGGTCACGTGCGCCCAGGCACGTTTTTAAAGCATTTAGTTGCTATCAGATCGGAGAATGTCAAATTACAATGTGTGTCATTGTGCAAGAAATTCTTCTCAGGTTGTACTGGAAACAACCCTGTGCCCAGAGAAGCTTTCTTATGAATTGAAATGTACTTTGCTCTCATTTTACCAGCTGATTCGTGCTGCTGAAAACAGAACAATATAACACTCGTGATGTGTCATCATATCCTTGCAACCCATGTTTGAGTATTTGTACTGACAGTCCACTTCAAAATACAATGCATTCCTGCCTGAAACGTTAATGATCCTCTTTGTCTTTCTATTTGTTTGTTTTTGTTGAGAAGCACCACTTGGCTGGTAAATCTGTGAATGAGGGTCAGAGGGCTCAATAAGGCCCAACAGAGCAAACTGACTTTGAGCCCAACAGGTTCAAGCACAGCTAATCTTTAACCTGCTGATGCAGGCATTTGAGTTTTTCCTGAACCACTGACAACTTGACTTTTTTTTCTGTTCAACCACAGTGTGACCAGTGTCAACAACATAGTGGATGTACACAACACACACTCTTACCCCTGCAGTGAACACAGCAGCATTCCCACTCTCCAGCATCTCCTCCAGTTCTTCATCTGTGGTCGCTTTTCCAGCTGGAAAGGGGAAAGAGGGAAAGGAAAGAAAGAGTAAATGACATAGAATACTGTAGGACCATCGTGTGACTTTATTGCTGTGTATGTGGGAATCACTCACTGATCTCTAGCTGCCTCTGAATACGTCCTTTACTCCTCTCCCTGAAGTCCACCTGGGCTTCATTATACTTTGTCATTACCTCCACAAACTTCCTTGACAGCACTGCATGCTGGGAGACGACAGGGAAAATATTATTACCATAGCAGTAAGTTAAAAAAAAAAAAGCAGTAAGGGTGGACAACAGTAATGTCGAACCAGGCATCTGAAACTTAAGGTGCACATCATTTACCTGTGATTTACGTATCCGCATGTCAGCGGACACCCTCTCCTGCTCCTCCGACTCCAGATTCCTCTCGATGGCTGGAAACAAATCAAAATACACATTTTTGATTCGTCATTACACATCACATATTGTTGTCACTTCACTGTTTCACTTATTATCTAATAACATCACCATTATTCTGAGAAGTGTGTGTGTGTGTGTGGTGTGTGTGAGGCAGACTCACTCTTCAGTTTGTTTCTTGCATTGTTAGCCATCTTCTTAATGTCATTAGTGATTGCCTCCAGGTCATCCTGTGTTTCTGAAAAGTAAGAGACAAGACAATGAACAGCTTAGAATGTTAAAGATCTAAGTCAGCTTTTTCAATTAATATTGACATTTTCAAATCAGTTTAAGACATATCTATATAATGTTGTTTTAAATTATCAATTCAAGTAATCAATTAAGGTTTATTGATGGGGTAAAAGAATATTTTTGAGTTTTCTAAGCAAAAGTAGGAAAGAATCTAATTTGGGACACATAAAATGCAAGTAAATGCAAGAGTGAAGGTCGGGGAAGAAAAACATCCTTAATGGATTAAGTTACTTAAGTGAGTAAATTGTTAATAAATGTTTAGCTGGCAGTGGTGAGGTATCTTACTCTGATCGGAAGTAGGAGCAGAAAGGATGACAGAGAAGAGCTTTTTGACTTCAGCCACATTGTCATCAATTTTATCGATACTGTTCCTAATGTCCTCGATCTGAAACACAAAAGTAAAATATAGAAAATTACTCAACATATGCAAATTAATAAAACAACAACGTGTCCCTTCAATGCCCCTACGGCAACAGTCACCTGAGAGAAGAACTCGTCCATGAAGGCTGCGTTGTCCACAGCAATCTCCACCTCTTCGTCATCTTGATCACACGTCTAAGAGAAGAAAAAGACGGCATCAGACTCACACCAGCAGGTCCAGCTGGACAGGGAGAGCGTGTGAAGGGTATTTCTCTGAAGCACACAGGATAAATAAAAAGCATTTCATCAACACCCCAGGATTAAAGGTGTACTGAGATGTTGGTTGTGGTCACCAGGGTAAAAACTGAAAAGCAGACTGATGTGTGCCTGGTTCCATGAGTATGGTCATCACAGTGATGTTGACAGCAGAAACTTTAAAAGTTGGGGTCAAACCAAGATATAGTCAGATACTAACTCTCTATTAAATCCACAAACTGTTGTCTTGAAACTTAGATTGTGTATGATGACAAACAAACCACATATAATGTGTTCATTTGTGACTTTGGTGGTGAAGATGGGCTACTTTAGTTAAGATAGACAGATCTTTGGAACTGCAGGCTCTAGATTCATAGTTACACTCATGAGAGCTGTGACAACATCAGTGCTTTCTAAAAGCACAAGAGACAGAGATACTAAAAAAATGATAATTTAATAACAAAATGAACTTCACATCTTACCCGTGACAAGAAAACAATATTCAAATCAGACTATGATCAACTATTCAGTTAGACCATGAGCCACAACTAAAGGCCATTCTAATCAAATTGCTTCCTGGTTTAGCAGCTCTGTGCGACACGTCAACCAGAAACATTGGTCTGACCCGAATCAGCAAACACTAAATTCATCAGAGAGCTTCCCTCTGCTGAAGTCATAAAAGCGTCACAGAAGACAGTCAGTACACAGGGCAGATCACACAGAGCTCAGATCACCTGGTGAATATTTACACGGTGAGGGATGAGGGCCAGGCTCCAGGAACTCAACCTGTTTTCAACTGACTTCAAGAAACCACAGCTCAGTTGCAGTGTAAACAGACATCATCGGGCCGTGCTGTGACGGAGTTAGAGGGGAGGGGAGTAGGAAAGCACCATGTGTTCCCTCCCGTTTGATTACTTATGCATTTAGAGTCAATCATGTGGACACTAAACACCCGATTAGCTTTGCTTTGCCACTACACCCTTAACACTCATGTTTCTGTTTTGTAATGGCTGACACTTGGTTGTGTCCTTCCCTTTATTCAAGCATGTAACATGTTAAACACACCTGTGAACTCCACTCTCTCATATGACCTGACTTAGTTTTCATCTCTAAACTGGAAATCTCAATAAATATGAGAACATTTATTCTTATTCAAAATATAGATTAACTCGCAGCATTCCTCAGTTTCTCACTGGGTTACACAATGTACAGTACAATGTGTTTAAGGAACTTGTTGAATAACTAAGTAAATTACTTTCCATTGATTTAGGGCAGCAACTAAAGACTATTTTATCAAATGATCGTTTAGTTTATAAATTATTAAACTTAAATGGCTCAGTAAAGCACATTCCTACACCAAGGCCCAACAGCCGGCTGAAATTCGATCAAGCTGCACCAAGTTACACACATTCAAATATATTAGTTCCCTAAACATGACATGTCATGAAACCACCACTCCACAAAGTCTTATGGAAATTGGTTGAGTGGTTTTTGCATATTCCTGCAGACTAATATAAGCAGACAAAAGCATAACCTTCTTGGTGGGGATTCAATATCAGGGCTACAGCAATGTCTCCAGTTTGCTTAAGACTTAAAGTCTATATACCTGTAAAATATTTAATTTACAGTAACATGAAAAAAAGGTCTTATTTATGGAGCTGTAACTATAATTTATGGGGGGATGGTAATTCTACAAATCGAATAACCAATTGATCGTTGCTGCGCTACGTTGATTACTGTTGTCATTTTTTTAACAGCCAAACATTTGATGTTCTCAAATATAAGGTTTTTATTTAAAACAACAGTTTTTTCAGTCAAATAAAACAAGTAATGTTTCACCTTGACCTTTAGAAATCATAACAATTTTTTTTACAATTTAGAAAAAATGCATTAATAAATAGATGTAAATTGTAAATTATGTCAATGTCCTCTGTGCAGTAACATTTACTACAACTATTAAAATGCAGAGTCTTAGTTTGGCTTTAACCCTCGTCTACAATTTGACTTGCAAATGCAGCCTGGGACCATTTGTTTCAGCCTGCTGTAAAAAACAACAACGTGAACAGACACTTCCCCGGACACGAGCACAGGTCACGCTGCTTGTTTTTCAAACCTCTGGCCGATACATTATGCTCCGTCACACATGCAGCAGCAAGATAAGAACAAGCGCTCGTTTCCTTCCAGTGTCTCTCATTCAGCAAAAATAAGAGGAAAGACACACACATACACACAAAGAGGCAGGTTCTTTCATGTAAAAACTGTCTGATACCAACTGTAAACATCAGAGGCTGTGACTTTGTCGAAGTCATCAAGAAAACTTTTACAACAGTTCTTGTTAAACTCACTCACTGATCTTATGATTCAACTTGGAAGCTCCTGTTCCTATTAGAAAACTAAAGATAAATTCAGGGACTGGACGAACACACAACCTCATACATGCTTTATCCTTTTGGATCAAAATATGTAATCATTACTCGGTAACCTCGTACTGTTTCCTAACACTGAATGGGGGCTGGTAGGGAGGGGTGTAATGCAGAGTAACCTTTCATGACTTGTAAAGTGTGAGATCATGAGATGTGTAACGTTTGCAAGGTTTTTGTGCAAACTGACCAGAATTTTACAGCGTTTTGTGCAATATTGTCACATTCAGAGGAGAAAGTAAAACACCTCCCTCTCACGATCCTGAGAAATAAACTATGAACAAACTAGGTTTCATTCCACTTTCAGCAGCTCTGCCAAAATGTTAATTCACAGAGTCAACCATCCAGCAGCAAATTAGATTCTTTTTTTCTTTTTTTTATAAACAAAATCAACACAAACACTATAATCTCATACTTAGTACTGCAACAGTGTGTAATCATGAAAACATTAAAAAAAAACACACAGGATAACATTTTGACAACTTGGCATCATATTAGAAAATACAACACATGCTGCACGTGAAGGACAGAAGTGTGACCCCGGATACAGGCTCATTGCGTTTATACAAAACATTTAATGACACTTATTCTGCAGACAAAGCACCATATGTTATGTTGCATAATTCCTCTCAACAAGGCAATGACTGAGCCGAGGTTTTACTCTGCAGCAGATAGTCGCCTAGAGTCAGCTTCACAAATACAGATGGTCATAAAACTGACTCTCTCTTAACGCACAATGTCATCTGACCTTCAATTAGATGACCGTTTTATGATTCAGGCAAATCTGATCAAATGTGAAGCTATGTTAAGAGGGATACAACCAATGGAAAAAAATAGAGACACAAGTACAAAGACTGAGCTCATTGTATTAGCTTTTACACCCCCGCAGTAAAATTAACTTCAGCATACACGCACGAACAATAAGTTTGCCAATGTAGAGAAAATTAAAATGGAGTGACCTCTATGACTCATTATCATGCACAAAACTCAACACAGGGCCAACCCTCTGGCTCACTTATCTTTCCAGTGATTCCGTCATCTAAAGGAAGCAGAGCTGATAAAATGGCAGACTTTGTCACTGGGGATCATAAAGGACGAAACAGTAGCATAACACATTCAACAGGAGACACTTCAGGGCAAAATAATGTTCACACTAGTCGAGCGGCAATGGTTTGTGATTTAATCTATCAGACGTATGAAAGAAAAGTAATCAGCAACTATTTTGATCATTGAAAAAAAACACCTCTGCCTCAGCAAATGGCAATGAATAATCAGGATCCTTTACAAATGACTAGTACACAGGACTGGCAAACTGGCTAGCAGTGTGTTTTACATTTGTCATACTTTGTTTGTCCTGAAAAATATAGCAGAGACGGGAAAAGCCATATATAAAGCAGATATGACGCAACTAAAAGGCGACCAGAATGATGAGTTGCTTGGGTTTGAACATTGTTGGAAACATTTTGGAATGTAAGTTCACAAGTCAACAAAATATGTAACAAAGATTTGTCGTTATTAGACATTTTCATTAAGCGTTGTAACATTTATACCTTGAAGTCATTCTTCATCAAAAATGTATTCTGTATTGTCACACAAAAATGTGTTTTACATTTTACTGACTAAACCATGAAAAGAGCCATTCAGCAAGTTAAATGAATGAAAATAATATTTTTTAGGTGCAGCTCTGTTCACTACATTGTCCCACAGAATGATTTAGAGAGTGAGCCACCCGCTATCAGCAGCAGCAGGAGAGAGACCTGAGGTCAGATTTACAGCGGCATCGTGGCAGAAGCCAAAATACTCTCATCAGGACTTGTGTTAATGCAATGCTGAAATCTGACAAGGGATTTAAAAACTGCATGTGCCCCAGTAAACGTTTGTGCCGGTAGAATTTCCCCCATTCAGTGTGCTGATATCGGAGCTATATCCTGGAGGAAAGTCACACAGTGTGACCACCAGGCCAGGATTACATGAGGGGAAACACTGTGCACGATAAAGCAGGGAAGGTAAGGCTTTGACTGAAAGTACATTTGAAAATATTATGAGGGAAATGGAACAGAAAGGCTGAAAACACAGAACTGAGCTGTCATATTGACATCAGCCTTTAGACAAACCGCAAGTTAGACTGTGTTCATAGATTCTATTTCTATTCCGTATCCTCTGAGTGAGATATGAACGCTGCCATCTTGCGCATTTGGAGGTAGAGTCTGTGCAGTAGCAATCGGGGGATGGAGCAGCGATATCGAGGTCTTGCCAATACACATGCTCAACCAATCGCAATTCAGCCTCAGCTGTTATTTAATGATGTTTCAGCCCATTTTTACAGCACCAAATAACTTGTTACAACCAAACTTCAACAAACATCAGTGTGATAAGAACTAATAACAGAAACCATCTTTGAGAAAAATGTACTTGATGTGTATGTTGACGTTTGCCTCATGTCCAATCCAAAATAAAGGAGGATGGATTTACAAGCAATACTGCAGCCAGCCACCAGATAAGTTCAGTCTGAGAATATCAAAAAATGTGAATATACAATATTCAGTTTACAAAGATAAAAACTGAGAAAACCAACTTATCTTCAAATGTGATGAGCTGGAAACTGGGAGTGTTTGGCATTTTTTCAATACAAATATTTGCCAATAATATTTATGTAGTTGGAGCTTTACTCAAGACTTTTGAAAGTTGTCATTCCATGTAACTAACAAATGATTTTGGTGTTTTTGTTTGAAATGGTCTGAGCAGGCAACTGTATTAAAACGACATCCAGCATGAGCGGTCACAAAGAGCCAAAGCTCAGATTAAGCTACTATCTTGGTTTCATGTTGCTTCTCTTTCCCAAACTTCTCCAGGTCTAAAGTTTGTCAGGTGACATAATCACGCTGGTGGCATGAGCCCACATTCACATGAAAACATGCCCCCACCCAAACCACACGATATACAGCCTAAATTACAGCAATCGAGTTAAACATGAGAAGGTAAACTGAGGAATGCATCCTGAGAATAAGGTGGAAGCAGTGATATATGACTTTCCAGGTTTTAACATAACCTTCCAACAAATAACTGACCTACTTCATTTGCTATCGGCACTTCTTTTCCCTGAAAAGAAGCCAGCTGTGTGAGATACAGACGCCCGGGGGGGGCAAATATTTGGCCAGCAGTAGCTATAGCAACACATCCCGACTTGGGTTACAATAGGATCAAGGCCTCACCTCCCCCTTCAAGTGTATTTACTGTCATTAACTTGGTTTTGAATAGAGAAAAGGCGAATAAAATGGAAACCTCTGTGTTGCCAGTGATTCACTGTTTAATTATCATAATAATCTCTAATTTGGGCCCTTGAACTCAGATTCAGTCAACCTGAAAATTTTACAACTTTCTACTTTGACTATACTTGTTATGACTTCCACCAAAAATATTATTTGCTCGTCTGCCTTTGTCTGTTTGTTAGATAGAAGGACTACGTAAAAACTACTCAACCAATTTCACTTAACCATAGAACAACCATTAAGAATTAGATCAGGGGCAGACCCTTAAGATTGTGAGATTTCTCAGAGAATCATTCATGGATCTTGATTAACAAAATCAGGCATGTTTAGGGGACTGATAACTGTGTGCTGTGGACTGATAACTGTGTGCTGATTCAAAATAAAAACCTGAATCTATTCAATTAAAATATGGTTTCATTAGGGAACGATTGAGCCTTGGTGGAGGTATGTGTGCTAGTAAGTGTCATTGTAATATTTTCAATGGTTTAATGTATTCCTAGCAATGATGGGAGCTACAGCTGTAAGAAATGACTTTTTCCATTATTATTATACATCTGTTATCTTTCGATTTTCTTCTTTAGATAATCACTTTGTCTATGAAATCATATTACAGTTGTAAAAATGTATTTTAGTGTGACCATCAGCTCACAACCGTGATGTTTAATTTCCATTGACATCAAACAGAGGAAACCAAACCCTGCTCACATATGAGAAGCTGAAATGAGAATATTTTATACATTTCCTTTTATATTTTCTGTCTGCCAGCTAAATAAACTATCAACTCTTGATTTCAGCTTAAAAGGCAGGTAGTATTCAGTGAAAATGGAGGTTAATCTGTTGTCATTCTCTTGCAGCAAAACTAAACCTGATTAAAATATTTGTATGCACATGTCTACATCATGTGAGGAAGCGATGGTAGTCAGAACAGCAGCTTAAATATGCAATGTACAATTTCGATCACATCTTAATTTAATAGTTTTAACATGTAAAGCTCACTGTCACTGTTTTTTAAAGCGTGTTAGTTAAAGTGTATCATTATTATTAATATTATATCCAGCCACACAATATAGATGTTTAAACAGCTGGACCACTTTACAACCTGCATTTTACTACTCAGGAGTTATGTCATCACAGTGTAGGATGTTGGTTCCAATGGATAAAATGTTATATTTCAAGTATTTATCCAAAAGCTTTGATTAAAATGTCAATTGTTTTATTAATCTGAATTTATTATTTATTTTTATTGTTACTATTTTTTTGCCACAATATGTTTGTCACCGCGTTCAGAGAAACGACACAAGAGGAGGAAGGAAAAGAAAGGGACACTTATATTATATATATATATATATATTTCCTGGACATCACTCACCGCTTTCAGTTGCTCCAGTCGGTCCTTCATCTCTCCGGTGGTCGATTCAACACTTTTCTAAGCGAACAGATGAAAACAATGCAGAAGAGCTAGTCCCGGTGTGTGGACTCCTCAGCCAGCTGCTGAGCTAGCTGTCCGTCACAAACCCTCCGCCAGTGAGAAACAACATGAAACTCCGCTAAACTCCCGAGTCTGAGGAGGAGACGACTCTTTTTCCCGGCGACAACAACCGTCTCGTCCTTTTTTCCATACAATATGGCTGCTGGGTTTAAACCCGGTGTTTTCTCCTCGCTAAATCTCCTCGGGCCGCGGATTAAAACCACAGTTGTGTGCAGCGGTTTAATCTGTGTCTCTCCGCGCGGCACGGTAATCATTCTGAAACGCACTTCTCCGTCTCACGCATGCGCACACCGAGCCCCGTCCGCCGGGGAGGAGGCCACGCCCTGAGCCACCTGCAGCAGGGTGATGCGTTCAGGTGAATAATGATCGTTTCAACTACCTCACCTCCTGGACGAAAGCTTTACTTCTTAAAGGTTCCCTGTGTCGCATTTAGGTGAAAGGGATCTATTGGCAGAAACTGAATATAAAGTAATCCGACTGGTGTTTTCACTAGTGTGTATTAATCATCTGAATTGTACAAATAGTTGGGGGGGTTTTTACCCTAGAATGGGTCCTTTATATTTAGATACTTTCTATTAACATCAGGAGTGGCTCCTCTCTATGGAGGCTGCCATGTTTTTTTAAAGTAGCCCAAACTGGACAAACTAAACAGCTTTTGAGTTTTATGACAACTGAAAGTTATTTTCCATGTTTGGAAGGGGAAGGGGGGGGGAGATGAACAATGGTTGAATATTCTCATGATCAAAAAAAAAAAAGTAAGATTCAAGAAGATTTATTGTCATTCCAAAAACACAAGTTACATAGAGGGAAGGAAACTAAGTAGAAGCAGCAAATAAATAGAAATTTCATCTCAAACTAAACAAGGATAAAAACATTGCTGATCAATAAAAATGTGTAAATGACAAAACGCCAACCTCATCTTGTTTTCCATTAAAGATTATTGTACTAATCAGTGTCCAGCAGACATCCTGGCGTGAACTGGGCAGTTTTTCTATTAATACGTCATACATGACAGATTATCAATTTGCATCAACGTTAAAACCAACAGATGTCACCTTCACCTGGAAATCCTGAGACCTCTGACATTGTTACAGTAGGTGTTCGATGGTTTCAGTTTCGTGGCAGTTGGTGACAAAGCAGCTTCATTTGACAAGTGCCCGCACTGCAACAGTGGAGGAGGAAACACTCGAATTCTACTCAGTAAAATTACAAATAAATAGACAAAAATGTACTCAACTAAAAGTATCATACTTATTCTTCTACTTCAGTAAAAGTAGGTGAGCACTCTCATTTGAATATACTTAATAGCCACTTGAAGTACTTGCCAAGTGTAGCCTATTTCTGAAGTGAATACAATTTGAATTCAAAAGTGAACACTTTCCCACCACTGGGTAGTGATCAGTCAGTAACAGCCTGTTCTGTGTGAGTGATGATGCTACTTGGTCGAAAAATAATAATAATAATTTATATGGCACTTTTAAAAATGTTGAAAGCTACTTTACATGATAACAAACACAAAGCAGTGAAAAGTAATTAATGTGGAGTCGATGCAAACCACACACAACCAATTACAGCTTGTGCCACTGCTTACTTGAGTTTATTAGAAATTAACATTCTCCTTTATCCATTTTCAAATAATGAAAGTTATATTGTAGCTTATGACTGTAACATATGAAACCATGTGATTGGTTAAAAAGCATGTATGTTTTTGTAACGGTCATTTGTAAAGAGGGCTGACGTCACGGTGAACAAGGCCTCAAACTCTGAGGTAATGGCGAAGGGAGGGATAACAGTAATGTGAATTAAAGGACATGAGTGACACCTAGTGGCCATCAGTGTACTTAGCACGTAACAAGACATCCCTACTTACAATAGTGACTTTGCACGTTTTCATTTGTGCAGTTACTAAAAGGCCTTCTCTGAAACTCATTTATCCAATTTGTTTATTTGCTTAAATAATTTCAACAAAGTTAGTACAAATAATGAGGATGTCAATTTAACTCATTTTGAAATGTCTACTCCAGCCCCCCCAACAGAGGAAAATGTTCAGCCTTCCCTTGGACAAAACTAGACATGACTTGCAAAAAAATTATGTGCATGGGGATTCATTAGTGTAAAGTGTCTGGTAAACTAGTGGGGTAAAAATATTAAGTTCAAGAGAAGTATCTGAATTGCCTTTTACCATATCACTTTTCAGCTACTCTGCATAACCTTTGATTACCATTTTTTTTCTTCCTACTTCTAAACACTATGTCTGCCTACCACTGTGAAAACTATTGCCACAATTAAACCAATACCACTTAGACATTAAGTTGTGTTTGGCTATTATATAAGTCAGTGAGGGCTTGTGTCAAAAGTTACACGATGCAAAACTACAAATAAACTATAATTCCATTTGACCGCCTCTGAATGATCTGGATCACTGTTACACTGCAATGGCTAAGGAACACTTTAATAGAGCAAAGGCCAAAACGTCTTCTTTGAAGGAGTTTAATGGTGCAGACTTCAACTGACAATTTATCCCATTAGCTTCAGCAACACTGTTATCCAGAGATTAAAAAAAAAAAGTCATGTCATATTGAGAATGTTTTTATTCAAAGTTTACTCCCCATTGTGTTTCCAGTACACCATACAACAGCATTCTGTGGGCTGGTTAAGTGCAGCGGAGGGTGCTCGATGATGAAGAGTAGCACGTTGCCATGCCAATGACTACACGAGGGTGGGGTGTGTCTTATACAGTGAAATTAGAACCACAACTTTTCCACCAAGTTATCTTTCTTAGTTTTAAAACAAACAGAAAAAATTCAAAAATAAAAAAAAATCTGAAAAGGGATTTTACAGTAAGGGGTGGGGGGGGGCAAGACTCCCAACAACTTCCTGTCCACAGCTAGGAGGGAGAGGGAAAATTCAGGGAACAGGTTAGAGGTCATCTTCGTCATCTGGCAGTGCTGTTTGTGATGCAACCTGGTGAGGAGGAGATAGAGATTCATGTTTTAAATGAGTGCACTGCAGAGTTCGAGTACTTGGCTCAGGCCAGACGTTGGTGGATATGAAATAAAACCACAGTCGACTTATCAGACATGGCACCTGAGTGTTTTACTCACATGAAGCTCTTGCTCATACTTCGCAGCAAGTGTCGGGTCCATGTGGACCTCTGGGGGAGCGAGGGCGGGCATTGCCACAAATTCCAGGTTGGGATCACCAATCAACTTCCTTGCTAGCCACAGGAAAGGCTTCTCGAAGTTGTAGTTACTCTTGGCAGAAATGTCATAGTACTGGAGGCAGAACAGTGTGCAATCAGATGATGGCTCAAAAATAACACACCAATAGTTTCAATTTTTCCACACGTGACTGGTGTACACATGAGGGTGGACATACCTGCAGGTTCTTCTTGCGGTGAAATACGATGCTCTTGGCTTTGACTTTCCTGTCTTTAATGTCCACCTTGTTGCCACAAAGGACGATGGGAATGTTCTCACATACACGAACCAGGTCACGATGCCAGTTAGGCACGTTCTTATAGGTGACTCGAGAGGTGACGTCAAACATGATGATAGCACACTGAGCTGTGGAGGTAACAGATGGTTTACTTCACCATTCCCAGGTTTACATTTAATGCATAGTCATTCTAGAGGCTGTTCAAGGTTTAATAAGTGTAACTTGTAGGATTGTGCAACGCACCTTGAATGTAGTATCCATCTCTCAGGCCTCCGAACTTCTCTTGACCAGCTGTGTCCCACACATTGTACCTGATGGGTCCTCTGTTTGTGTGGAACATCAGAGGGTGCACCTCAACTCCCAGAGTAGCTAGAATATTAGACAAAGAAAATAGGTGAGTAGGCAAAACATAAAAACTATTACAGGATGGGTCAAGGAAAAAGTAATACAAATGGAGAGATCAGCCAAACAATAAAATCTTAAAGCATAATCTGCATCAAGAGATGTGAAGTCAATTTGCCAGTGCTCTCTGGTGGATAAAACATGTTCTAAATTACACAAAACCTAGTGAAGCATTTCTGTACAATATGTTGTTAGTCAGCTCGATATATATATATATATATATATATATATATGAACCTAGTGGCCTCAGTTGGCCCCCCCAGCTGAGGGCCTGCTAACAGGTTGATTAGCCCCTGCTGTCCGTTGGTGAAACGTCTTTTAGCTCGTTATCTATAACAAACTGACGTGTCACTCAGTCTTTCCAGCAACATACTCACCGACATATTTCTTCTCAAACTCTCCTGTGATGTGTCTCTTCACAAAAGTTGTTTTTCCGGTGCCTCCATCTCCTACCAACACCAGCTAGGGGGGGGGGAGAGTTCACACTGGTTGGTACTGGTTCAGCACTGCTAGCGCAAATACCGCCATTATCTTTTATTTACACAATTTACTAGACAGGAGATTTCAGAAACTTACCTTGAACACCGCCACACACTGAACAACTGACTCCGCCATAGTTGCGCTTTATCTGGTTGAACAAAACAAGGCGGGACGGTTAGCACGTCTTTCTATCAGCACTTAACGTTGAGCTAACGCTGTTAGCAGCTACACGGTTAGCTGTTAACAATAGCCAAGTGAACTGTGAGTTAGCAGTGTGTGTAACTATTCAGGTAGAATGACGCTGCGAGCGGCTAATTTTACATCGAGCCGCTACACCCAGCAGCCTGATGCTTAGTAGCGAGAGCAACTTCCAGCATTTTCGATGCACGCTTACGCCAAACACATTGCGCTTCAGTTATGCTAACAGCTGAATAAGACAAGTGTAAATCACATATGTTCCCTACGTGGTGGGTCAGAATGGAAGCTCGTCTATCACGCCTGTGAGACAGTATTTTAAATGCTAGCAGCTACTCGCTGGCTAACTGGTCAGCTAGCTGCCGTTGGTTTGAGTGCGCCATACGAAACGAGAGCGCACTTTTTCTTGTTCGGTTGAAACAATCGACCCGGGAGACCGGACCGTAAGATGTGTTCCCCGCTTCCGCCGCCTGCTACCAGGGGGATAACGCCACACACCGGGCCGGCGACAGGCTCCTCACTAAGTCAACAATAATAAATGTAGTTGATTAGATAAACGAGGAGGCTCCTAGGAACAAAGCGGTTAGATGAGGGAGAGCTGCTAATCGCTTAGCTAGCACGGCATGGAAGCCATTCTCTTAGCTAACAGGCTAAGTTAGCTACAAGCTAGCATACGAAGGGGGGAATCAATGGCCTAGTCTGGTAGCTGCCTCCTCACGTGGCTACACTTAAAACATCAGACGGAGCAGAAACACCATCGTCAGGTCTGCAGTAGTTTGTTTTTTTAAACAGATTTTCCTCAAAAACACAAACTTACAGTCAAAGTGGGGCCGCGATGAGAAAATGCAACAGAGACTCACCGGTGCTGCTGCGAGGAGAGAAAAGAGTAAATGGCCGCGTTCGCGGGAGATTCAGCGTGGACTAGGAGGCAGTTTCCGCCCTTATCACGTGACCACCCCGGCGCTGTGAGGAAAAAAACCTCTGAGTGCGACATCGTGGAAAATTCACAGAACACGACCCAGCCTGTCTGAGCCAGAGCACAGCGATTCATTTCAAACTCTGAGATCCAGCTCCTGCGAGCTCTGTGATTACTGCCCTTATTGTATCATTGACAACCACAGTTTTTATATAAGTCTCTTATCACAGGCTGAGATGCTGCAATATTAAGACATAACAACAAATGCTTGACAATCTGCCTTTAAACGAAATCAATAATTGTTTGGTCTAGATATCAGAATCACTGTTAACCATACGCTCAATGTCAATTGATTGATCCAATTAATTTACCGAATATATTGAATTTACGATCACATCTTAAAGGTACAGTGTGTAGAATTTTGTGATATCTAGTGTTGAAGTTGCATGTTGCAGCTGAACACCCCTCACCTCACCCTCTCCTAACAAACATGACAGAGAACCTGTGGCAGCCTTTAATTGTCGTATAAACTCAAAAGCTGTTTAGTTTGTCCATTCTAGAATAATGAAAAAAACATGGCAGCCTCCATAGAGAGGGTCCCCTCCATGTAAATATAAAGTATTTCAATATAAAGGGCCTTTTCTGGGGTTAAGAAAACTACAATTCATACAATTTAGATGAAATGAACTCGTGAAAACAACATGAGGATTATTCTACATTAAATTTCTTCCAATAGTTCCCTTTCACCTAAATCTTACACACTGGACCTTTAAAGGGTAAGTGCAGTAAGTTAACACATGTTGATACATAAAGCTGGAACCAACAGCCAGTCAGTACTATTTTAATGAAATGATCAGTTCTATATTTATTCATTTACACTATTGTTTCCGACCTCCTAAAGTAGTTGCCTGGCCTCCCTGTCACATCGCATCCTGCTGATTACTATTTATCTTATATGAACGTTTCTTGCTTTGCTGTCAGAGCACTTTGTAAGCCCAGTTCTTGAAAAGTGCTATATAAGTAAAGTTAATTATTATTATAGGGTTTATTCCCAGAGGTGAGATTTATATGATTGCTTGGCCTCTTCAGCTATTATTAATATTAAACTGTGGTTCAACTATGTCATTGACTTTACAGAATTAACTTGACTGGCACTCAGTATAGGACAAACCCCCGCCAAGGCCCAAACAGTCCCCAAGTTTAAATTCATTAGATCCAGACTTTTATTTTGATCTGTACCAAATCACTCATAAATATCAGTTCCCTAAACACATGTTTAAAATTCTGAAACCACTTGTTTGGTTTGAGCAACAAAATCAAAACTGTTCACAAAATACAGTGGTTGTCACACCAAACTAAGAACAACTCCTAACATATTGAACGATGGATCCAGATGTTTTGAACAATCGATTAAATAGCAAAAATAATGGCATTTACTAATCGGCCAATCGACAAATTGTTTCAGCACCAGCTTCAATACAACAGACAGTTAAAGTTTCAAAACATGATTTATTTCACTTTCCTAAATAGCTTCAGCGACATTACATAAATATATTCTCAGAAATGTCCAACCTATTAAATAAGATGAACCTTGTTTTCTTAAAGTGCAGCAGAGGATAGTCTATAACAGACATGTGCATAGGTTACATGGGTTACAGGTTATGATATCAACTTCAGAAAGTGCAATATCATTCAAACACAGGACATGAATTGTGCGTTTTTATTTTTTTCTCAGTTCTGACGACAGAGTCTGAGGCTGCAAGGCTTCACTGCTCAAATGTAACTTATTGTATTATCATAAAACTATCAGTAATCTCTTTAATGCGTAGAACGAAGATGAGACACATCATTTCATGTGTCACATATCTTTGTTGTCAATGTGCAGATTAAACAGTCTATCTGTACAGGTAGTCTGCTTGTATGTTGGCTGCTATCTCAGCCTCCCATCTGTCTCCATTGTTTAGCAGCTTCTCCTTGTTGTACAGCAGCTCCTCGTGGGTCTCTGTGGAAAATTCAAAGTTTGGACCCTGGTGGAGAGATTGACAAAGAAGAAAGGGAACACTTAAGGTCTGCATGTCTAAATGCACAGTATGTTCAGTTCCAGTTTCATAAATTATATACACTCCTCAAAATAAATAAGGGAACACTTGATGAGTCGGAGGATGCTGTCCTGGGGGATCTCCTCCCAGACCTGGATCGGGGCATCACTGAGCTCCTGCACCTGCTCCTGTTGTCTGTGGAGGTACTTGGCAGTGTCAGATACTCCGATACATAATGTCCCATACATGCTCAATTAGATTTAGGTCAGGGGAACGTGAGGGCCAGTCAATAGCATCAATGCTTTCGTCATCCAGGAACTGCCTGCACACTCTGGCCACATGATGCCGGGCATCGTCCTGCACCAGGAGGAACCCAGGGCCCACTGCACCAGTGCAGTCCAGCTCTCCTCGTCTAATTGTGCAACCTGATTGGGCTGTAGGTACCACTTCATGCTACCAGTAGTGACAAGGACACTATCAGAATACAAAACTAGGACATAATCAGTCAGGAAGGATAAGGAGAGAGCAATAGTTTGTGGCCACCACATATAAAACCATTCACTTTTCGGGGGTTGTCTTGCTTTTGCCGCTCCATCGCACCCATTGTCACTTTCATTTGCACCAAAGCACTTGTGCTTCATAAATGGACAGTGGGTGTGACTGACTGATGTGAAAACTTTCTCTTGTTATAAAAAGGAGATTTTAGATCCTACAAGCTTAGTGTGTCACACGCTTGTGGCATGGAGACTAAATAAATAGAAAACATATTTCTAGAGAAAAGTAACAGAATGACAGTTTACTCTGCCAACAGCATCCTTGAATCAGCTCCACAGAATCTATTCCGAAGCTGTTTCCTACCTCCACAATAGCATCAACAGGACAGGCCTCCTGGCAGAAGCCACAGTAGATACACTTGGTCATATCAATGTCGTAGCGCGTAGTCCTCCTGCTGCCATCAGCTCGAGTCTCAGCTTCAATGGTGATGGCCTGGGTTCAACATAGAAATAAAATGAGTAGAAAAAACAGAGTCAGAGAGGAAAAACTAGGATTTCAGAAGAGAATTAATCACAACCTATCGGAGTAAACATTACAGTCATATTGTCCATTGTGTTCACCTGAGCAGGGCAGATGGCCTCACACAGTTTACACGCAATGCAGCGCTCCTCTCCGTTAGGGTAGCGACGGAGGGCGTGCTCTCCACGGAAGCGGGGTGACAGAGGTCCCTTCTCAAATGGGTAGTTGATGGTTGCCGGTTCACGGAACAAGTAACTCATGGTCATCGCCAAACCTGGAGGGAGGGTTCGCCAGAGGAACAAAGAAGATGATGACTGGTTTTCTATTTTACTATATCCAACTTCTATGGTGCATAGCATTGTGACTCCTTCTATTACCAAGAAGTTTAACGTTTTCATAAAAGACAGTGTCTTTCACAACACTGTAATTATGTATTTGTTGGGGATTGTTTGTTGTAACTAAGGAGCAGTGGTGTGGCTACTTCTATTCGCTTCTAAAAGTTTTTGGAGATCTGTGGCACAGAGGAATGAGTTACATCTGGTTTCGACCCCAAAGACAATAATAAAATGCAAAATCACAAGGCGTATCCTTTAACTCCATACATGTGACAGAGTGCAGAGCCAACCAGTGTGTGTGTGTGTGTGTGTGACCTCTGAAAAGTTCAGTCCACAAGAGGGTTGTTGCAGCCCGGTCAGTGATAGACCTCAGGTCTGTTGGCAGCTCCAGAGCGTTCACATACTCTGCAAACAGAATGGAGGGAGACAAGAGTGTTTGATAAAATTGCTCCAAATAAGAGAGTAAAAGTGCTTTATGTGAAGAGCTCTTGGTTTGCAGCAGTACTTACTGTAACCCTCTCTGTGCACACTGAGACTAAATGGGCGCATGACACCAGGACCATGTCCAAATGTACCTGATGATACATATAGTACAAATGTGATGTGATGGTGGCTGAGTTTGTGCAAACATATATCGCAGAATTCATTGACACGTGCTTCTGTAGTACCCTGCTTTGAGTAGCAGTGGAGAAGTCGCAGGCTGAGTGCAGTGGCGTTGGACATCTGAGCAGAGAGGACAGAGGAAACAACTTGAAATAGGTGAGACACGTTCAATTGTATTCAAAATACTTTGGGCGTTTCAAGGAAAGCAGGAGAGCCAACAAAAGAGCACAGAGAATGAATCCACTCTACACTACTGGATACTAACAAATCTCTCTGAAATGCATCCCTCATGCCAGCCAATGAAAGTCATTATGGAGGACATTGATATATTTGTATGCGTTTTTCAGTACTTGTGTGTTGGTGGATTTCAAATCTGCACAGTAGATTGTATCCTCACTGTAACCATGGAGAGAGAGAGAGAGAGAGAGAGAGAGAGAGAGAGAGAGAGAGAGAGAGAGAGAGAGAGAGAGCAGCTGACTGAGAACATCCACGCTGTAATCTGGCGCCCCAAATCCCTGCTATGACGTCAGCAGTGTGGCTCGTTCAAGTCATTTTGAGCGAAATGGGAAAAACGATGATCAGTCCAGTGAGGGAGCATTCACGGGATTATTCAAACATTGTTAGCCACATTTACAAGACCAGCAATCAGTACCTAGCTTTTTAATACAAATAATAAGAGAAATTAGGCGTGAGTTAGCTATTTTTATTGCATCAAAGTAGGTCAAACCATAGGTCAAACCACTCACGGTACAATCATTGGTTATTTTTAATCATCTGGCTTTGCTGTAGTGTTGATATGACGTCATTATGCTGAATCAGAATTTCGCAAACGGCTTGAATGATATAATGTTTCAGTTATGTTGCACGGATGCTCGTTTTCACGGACTGTGTGAGACACTTGAACGCGTCGTTTCAAATAAATCCACCGTTAACAGGTTACAACGTTTTAATGTGTTACATACATTTATTTAGGAAATACTTGGTCACCACACCACATTAGTTTATATTAATTTGATAGCATGCAACAATTAGGTCAAATACCAACTTCTCTGTCTGAGGAGCAGGTTGATTTAAGGTAATTTAACTGAATTATAGTTCATTCAAAATGGTTCCCGAAGCGTAAAATGATCATCGACAGAATCATTTCATCTTAATAATCACGTTTTAACTGCGCTTACCTCTGATAAATTACTGTAGAGCAGGAATACACAGCGGACCCTGAACTACGCAGCTGTACCAATGCTGCATTCACGTGCACCTCGTCGATTTCAAATTCTCAGTGAGGGAATAGCATACAAATGCACTCTTGTTGAGTTTATTTTACTTTATTTTAAGTACATTTGGAGTTTCTGTGTTTGATAGATAGATAGATAGATAGATGTTTGATCCTAAATTGGGAAATTATTGTGTTAGAGCAGCAAGTCATGGGCATTGCATGTACAGCAAAGTAGCAATAAAACAGATATGAAGAATTGAACTAACTCAAAATAGAATGTAACAATAAAAAAACAAAAAAGAATAAAACATAAAATGTACTCAAATCTGTACATACTCCCTAACTAAATGGACGACGAATCAGCATGTTTGAGCAACTGAACAAAAATTCTATGACAAATTAGAATGACGTTTCTTTTCCAATAATAGTCATTTTGTTTCTATACGGCCCTGCATTGATTGACAAAGCAAAACTGATTTATGAGGCATCGTGGATTCATAATGCTGAGAGGAGGAGCAAAGGGAGGGGGGGAGGGGGGTTAGAGAGTGGGAGGAAGTTTGTCTTCCTCTCATCACTGGAGCGTTTTGCACTTCACCTCCTCAGCAGCGACTGATCACACAGGACGGAAATGTAAAAGGTAATTTCTATCTTAAGAGATTTAACAGCTGTTTTGGATTTTGATTTTCAAAATGTTACTACACACAACAGAGTCATTTCTACTGAGCATCAAGACAAATTGTTTTCATATCACAACAAACTACTACAAATAACTATTGAGGGGGTTAAGGGAGGTAGGGCTGCACCATATGGTGAAAAGCAATATCAAAACGATAATGTTGAAAACAGTCGAGATGTTAAATGTCACATTATTATTTCTTGTAAGTTTAAAGACTTTGCTCCTGAGGGACGGTTGTGGTTTTAAACTCCTCTTTATGAGCAGAGAATGACACTTGATAAACAGCAACACTGATAAAGGTCAGTTATTCATTATACCTCCTCACTTTACTTGCTCAACACATAAATAATATATCGATACGTACTGGACTATTTAAAATATTTATATTGATGAAAATTGTTTTGTAATTATTGATATAATTTTTATTTCCCAGCCCGAGTGAGAAGTATGATACACATCTCTGAGGCTGAGTCACATCAGTTTTTATTTGTAATTATAATAATAGACATGTTGAATAATGAGACCCTCCTCTTCTCCTCTCAGTAAGATGTTGAGTGCATCAAGTCCAGCCCTGAAGATCCTCAGTGAGGAGGACGGCTCTGGATCTGATGCAGGGTCAGAGGTCAGTCTGGAGCCTGAGACCGACCGCTTTGGATTTATTCTGACCAATGGATCCACTGCTGGGTGAGCCCCTCCCCATCTGTGCTTGTCTTACTGTGCTTGTAACTGTTAAATATAGGCTGAGGTGGCTGTGGAAATATTATTATTGATTTTCATTAGCTTAAACAAAGACTTTTGTAATTAAAAAATGTTTTTAAATATTTGAACAAATTGAGACAGATTGTTCAGATTTTCATACATTGTTATCACATAATAGATTCAAGATTCAACACTTTATTGCCATATCAACAAAAAAAAATTGTTTGGGCAAGCTCACAGAATGAAAAAGACAAGAGAAAATAAAAAATCCTACAACCAATGTTAAGATTGATTCAAATTGATATACAATATATAAATATACTCATTTCAGGCCACAGTACACATAAGCATGTACTTTCCTACTGTGCTTGGGCTTTCAGACCTTAAATCATTTTAGATTAAATTATTCTCATTGCTGGAAAAATTCATTAAAAAATTACAGTTACATTTTACAGTTAACAGTTAAACATCTTATGTCATCTGATGACCAGGGAATTTATTAGAGAATCATAAGCACTGTTATTGTGTAGAGGCGACCACAAGCAGCAAGATGTTTCCGCTACGCGGTGAAAGAAAGCCTTGTTCACACAGAAAGGAAAACGTGGCTGTTTTCCCAATGCTGATCTCTGTATTATGAGATCAGATGAGGAGGGAAAAACCACATGAAAGGTTAATAACACTGTGCACCAAATCTACAGTTAAATATGGTGCAGGATTATTCATGAGTTTCATAGGGTCATCTAGAAAAGTACTGCTCTGTTCTGCAGAGACATGCTGCCAACAGCGGCTCTCAGTTGTATGGACGAGGATTAATGTTGAAGCTGAACAATGAAGAGATCAAAGCTACTGCAACATCACAAGACCATGGGTGGGCTGCTATAATCAATGATACAATAATTAAGCAGAAACATGTAAAATACTGAACATTTTCCATTTCAGATATGACTGAAGTCTCTGAATTAGTAAGACTTTGTATTTATGCCACATTCAAACAATCATGAATCAAAACAAATCCTGGTAGCAAACTGTGAGTGAAGAAAGGTGAGTGAAGAATAGGACCAGCTGCACAAGTAGCTATCTGTCGTCTTCAGTTTCCCCTGTAGTGACATCCTGACCTGTTGCCATAGAGACTTTCGACTGCTAACGTGTGGTTTTCCTGTTTCCTGTCTTGTTTTGCGGCGTACTGCCTTTTCAAAAATGACAACACATTAAAGTGCATGCAGGAGGATGGCTCAGAGAGATGAGGGTCTGCAGTTAAATGAGCATTAATACTGTAAAGTTTTGAAAAGCTTTCATTACTATCAGAAAACAGTTGTTGTAAAGTACGTACCTGGTGTTTTGTAACAGGAGTGCGGGCCCACCACCCGAGTTGGTCAGGCACAGGGAGAACAAGTGGATCAGCATCATTCTCCAATGGGATCGTATGATGTTCAAGAAGACCAGTAAGGTGTGTCCCATCTTAAGACACCGAGTCAGGAAATAACCCTTAAAATCTAATGATGGCTGAACTCAGTGTAGCTGATTTGTCTCAGCAGGTCCTGGTATCGAATCATCATTATTATTATGACAAGTCAAACTGTCTGCAGTGCACTGATACCGTTCACAGTTCAAATCAAGAATTGTGTTGCTGTAGTCATGTGTTTAAAACTGTTCTGGGTTGACTCTGTGTCTCTGCTACGTGTCCCTTCAGGTCAAAGAACAGTGTCAAAAAGGCATCCCTGCCTCCCTGAGGGCAAAGTGTTGGCCTCTGCTGAGTGCAGCCACTGACAGGATGAAACAAAATGAAAAACTCTACGAGGCAAGAACACGTAGTTCCTAGTGCAAAAAACAATTTGTTAATGAGCTGCAAATATGCTGCACATTTTCTGGCCCCACTTTCTCAATTGTTTCATGTTACATTTAGATCAAATCAGTTGTGGATATTTCACTTGAGTCTCTTTTGTTTCGGTGCCAGTTTCTGGACTCGCAGCCCGCTCTGCAGAGCTGGGTGGATGTGATTGAAAGAGACCTGGGCCGACAGTTCCCCTTCCACGAAATGTTCCTCTGCAAAGATGGACACGGGTAGGAAACGTCTCTCGCTCTACGGCAGTTTCTTCAGTCTTAGTCCCACCGCATCTTTGCATTCCTGTCTCTGTCTATCTGCTGCAAATTATTTCTTCATTTAGACAAGAAAGAAATCTCTAAATGTATCTCTCAAGATGAGTTCCATTGAAACAGGATTATGACTTTTAAACTTGTCTGTCATGGCTTGTCTGTCGTGGCGTGTGTGTGTGTGTGTAGGCAGCGTGGTTTGTTCCGGGTGTTAAAAGCCTTCACTCAGTACCAACCAGAGGAGGGTTACTGCCAGGCACAGGGGCCTGTAGCTGCAGTGCTGCTGATGAACATGCCTGCTGAGGTAGAAAACAAGTTTATTAAATAAATGCACTGCAAACCTGAGTTTTAGCAGAGAAACAAAAGCCCTTTTCAGACACTGAATCTGTAAAACTGTTCAATATAACTCTGTCCCATGGCACAAAGACTGCTTCAGATATACTTCCTTGGTTGTAACAGGGTAATAAATGTTAAAAAATCAATCAAATGTCATCTAAAGTTGGCCCTGTCTAACCCCTGCAGGAGGCCTTCTGGTGTTTGGTGCAGATCAGTGAGCAGTACCTGCCTGGATATTACAGCCCCCTGCTGGTGAGAACATGCATGTTCCCCACACATGACGAAAAATGCTCCTGACACTTGCAAACCCGTTAACCTGCTGCCGTGTGACATATAGGAGGGCGTCCTGTTTGATGCCGGCATGCTGACCTGGGTCTTAAAACGGACGTCTCCAGCTGCTCATAAACACCTGCAGCGCCACGAAGTGGAGCCCCTCATGTTCGCCACTGATTGGCTAATGTGTCTGTTCACACGCCACCTGCCATTCAACACTCTGCTACGAGTCTGGGACCTGTTTTTCTGCTATGGTACATCCTCCACCTAGGCCATAGGCTGTGGATCAAACAAATAACATTGTGTCCTAAAAGGCAGGCAATGTAATGAGTAATTTCATCAACAAAAAAACCCTGCATGTCATAGGGAAATCACATGGTGCATACTTCTAACAAGGCTACGCCCTATCTCGCCATGTTAAACAAAGACAAAATAAATTCCTGCATCCACCTGTTAAACTGGATGTGCTCCAAAATTTAATGTGCTCTTCCACGGCCCCACCCCTTAACAAGATTTTATCTCATCGAAAATCAATTGAATATGATGAAAACCAATTTTGTAGTTTTAGTTTAATCCTTCTGAAATGAGTTTGATATGTTTGCCACTGTTCTCTCTGGTGTCTCTTCTACCTCTCTGTCCACGCTGACCTCTCCACTCTTATGTGCAGGGGTGCGGGTGCTGCTCCAGGTGGCCGTGGTGCTGGTTCGTCGTGTGCTGGGTCGTGCCGAGCAGAGGAAGCAGTGTCAGGGTCAAATGGAGACTCTGGAGAGGCTGAGGGGCGTCAGGGAGCAGGTCCAAGATGAAGATGATGCCTTCATAGCAGAGGTTGGTACTGACTGTGTTTACTGCAGTCAACTTTCATTCATTTTCATGAAGGCACCAGTTTGCCAGAGATATCCAGCCTGGTAATAAATCCTGTGTAGTTTATGGAGGGAGAGCACTTTTGTAAATTTGTATGTTGTAAGTGTATTTTATGAAGTTTGCAGTTGTTAAAAACATTATAATATAACATAAAGAAAAATTATATCTAAATGAACCAAGATCAAGCACAACACGGTAACACGGTTACTGTAATTTTCACTTGTTTTGGTGCAATCAATCAATATCAACAGTGGTCACACTTGTGTTAGTGTGGTACATGAATTATAATGCAATACTGTGCAGTGGTAAAAGTGACATTACTACAGTTATAACTTGGGTTTCACCATAGTTTTCCTCTCCCTGCACTCAGGTGTGCTCGGTGCAGCTGTCGGCCAGAGATCTGGAGAAACAAACAGAGAAGGAGCTGGAAAAGTGGCGAAAAGACAGACCGTCGTCCACTTTTGACCCCAGAGGTCGCTGTCAGGGATACCGGATGGCGTGGGCGAGGGCTCGGCAGTACCAGGAAGATTGGGATAGTAAAGAGAGACAGAAAGGCAACCTGTCTGTCCCTCTCTCTCGCTCGGCCTCTACTCTGTCGCTGTCCCCTTCGTTCCGTCACCAGAATTTATGGAAAGGGGAAATAGTTAACACAGGTGAACGGACAGGCGGAGGTAAAGTTGTGAGGCATCTTTCATTGGGAGCAAAGGAGGACTTGAGAAGCCGGAGTGATTTCAATTTTAAGAAGGTGCAGGGCGTTCAGGAGGAGGAGGATGCGGACGAATGTAAAGAACAGAGTGAGGCGAAACTAACAGGAGGAAGTTATGAGAAAGAACGTTTAGAAGAACCAAATAAGATGGCTGAAATCCAAAATATAATGACAGAGCACACAGAAGAAACAGTAAAGAAAGATAATGACCGAGCTGAAACAGTGAGAACAGAAACGGAGGAAAGTAACCCAGAAGAGACAAAGGATGACAGAATGGACAGAGAAAAAACAGATGTGGGGATCGAACCAAAACAAAGTCCAGCCAAAGACCAGACTGTCGAAAATATTCTTCAGCTCACCGAACATACCTCTCACTATATACAGGAAGAGGAGCTGAGCTCTCATAGCCAATCACAGAGTCACAAAGGCCAAGACCAGGAAACTGAGGTCAAAGATGTGACGGAAGAGACAGAAGAAGAGGTTTCAGAAAGTGAGCATTCAGCTGTGGAAGAAAAGAGTGAGACACAGAAAGTTATTGCAGACGCATTCACACACAAGGAAATGGAAGTAAATGTAGACAACAATGAGGAACAGATGATTCAGTTTGACATGAAACTAGAGGAGGAGACAGAAAGTAAAAATGATGAACAGCTGCAGGTGGATACGGTCACCGAAGTCTCCAAAACAAGAACTGAGATAATCCCAGGCTCCGAGACAGATGAAGAGGAAACTTTTGCAGGCACAAATCTAACAACAGAGACAGAGACAAGGGAGGAAGTGATCACAGAGGCAGACGAACGCTCACAGGTTGATGCATTTGAAGTAAAATCCCACAATACTGAGCCAGTGAAAGGAAAAGAAATCAAGGAGCTCGACCCACAAACAGAGAAAGAAAGTGAGGAAAAGATGGAGGAAAAGAAGGAGGAAAAGAAGGAGGAAAAGATTGAGGAAAAGAAGGAGGAAAAGATGGAGGAAAAGA